AAAAGTACCATAGGCCCCGGCGAGATTCGAACTCGCGATCTCCTGTTTACTAGACAGGCGCTTTAACCAACTAAGCCACGGCGCCTTGCAACAATGGACTGAAATTAATTCTAAAAAACAAAACACAACCCATATTGTGCTGACAATAGATACTATTAATGTTAATATTTCTAAAACTAAATATGAAAACATAACTATTAGGTGCGCAACTAAGTTCTCGCTTTTTTTTTCGATAAAAATATAACTTTATTATTAAAAAATGGTTACAAATGAATCATTCAATGTCTAAGCTTGGTTCATGGCGTTCTGGATATGTCAATATCGACCAGCTCTTACTTTTAGAGCCACCTACTGACAAACAGCGAGAACTTAGTTGCGCACCTAATAAATTTTTGAGTCGGTTGAAATGTAAATTAAAATTTTCTACCACACATCGACAATACACCAAAATAAATATAACGACGCAACACAAGTGTAAAATGAACAATATTAAATGAAAATACGGTTTCCATTATAAAGAGAAAACGTGCCAATGTCAAATTTAAATTTCTGTTATAAATACAAAAGACGAAATGCTTAAGGCATAACCTCAATACAATTGAGAGGCTTCTCAACCTAATTTTATTAAAGTATATTCCCATTCACAATATGAAGGGCTTACGCAGAATCATTTTAACAATATTGGGCGCTAGGGCGCGAATTCTGGCGCCCGTAAAAGTAGTACGTCCATTGGCTGGCGCCCCAGGTCGCTAAACCCGGGCGCCCCTTGAACTTCGGCGCCTGGGCGCCCCGCACTCTTAATAATACGGCCCTGGTATTCTGAGTTTCTAATTGGAACGTTGGGGCCTTTGATACGGATTTGTCACTTTACGGGGCTATAGACACGTTTAGGCAAGCTTTTACTGAAGTACGTGTTGCTTTTGTTGAATAGAAGAAACAATCAACTGAGGCCTTGGATTGTTAAAGTTAATTTTCCGAAAGAGTTACTTACTGAACATTTAGTTTTATGGCTTGTTTATTATTTATCCAGCAATTGGCTTTGTTTTACGAAGGTGTAAATAAGACTTCAAGTTAAACGGATTAAGTACAAATACTTGTATAGTATAAAGTATTATAATTACTTTGTTATATTTTTTTCCTTTCTAATTCTGATGAAGGATGCGAGCGTATAAGGATATTTTTCTGTATGCTAGTATATATAAGACCATCATGACATTTGACTTATGTTTTTTTTAATAGGAGAAGAGGGCAAACGAGGAACGAATTCCCTAAGATTATTTGATGCGTTGCCGGCGTTTAAGGAAGGTGTACCCTCTTTTCTTGAAGGCCCCTAAGTCGTGTTTAGAAATACCGCTGAGGACAGGGTATTCCACAACGCGGCTGTGCGAGGTAAAAAGTTACGCGAAAATCTCGTCGTTGTGGAATGCCAGCCATCGAGATGGAAACGATGGAATTTGGCGAATTATGTAAACAATTTCATTGTGACCTCTCACGGGTGAACAGATTTTGGTGAATTAAATGTCTTTGGATTTGTGTGCATCTGCGGAACGTCGTTAGACGTATCATTTTAGTTATAATTGCGAATAAAATAAAGGTGAAGATTCAATGAGTAATTTCATGACATACCTTAAATTCCAAAATATTTAAAATATTTCCGTTAGACTCGAAAGGAGTATCATTGGCTGGTATGGTGATAAATCCATGGGTTTCAGTTGTTCCATAGCCATTACATAAATTGACATTTAATTGTAATTTTCTCTAAAAATATAATAATCAATTATATACCTATAATTCCTACGACAGTCCTTGGGTTCAATTTGGTAATGACAACGATGAAATATTACAAATGACTTTAGAAATGTGTAATAAAAAAACTCTTGTGCCAACCCTAAAGTAGGAGGAGACCGTCATCATCAACCTGCCCTTATCTTATCCCTATTAAAGGTCGGCACAGCAAGTACTACTCCAGGCGTGTGAAGAATACTTCTTAGTTTACCCACGCCCCGGTGAAAAGTGAAACGAGGGAAACAGTGGTGGTTTAGTGGGTATGCTCCTATTCTGGAAGAGAATCCCACATAACTACCGTGCCTTTCCCCGAGGCACGGAGTATGCATAAAGCATTCCCCACTATGAAAAAAAAGTATGTACTACTCCTCCATACATCTCTATCAGCCGTCATATCCGAATCTACCCCCTTCCTACGGATTTCATCTTTCACACAGTTATTCGTTACTTTTTAAAGTAGGAGGAGACTATGAAAATAATATTAAGTACCTTTAATGATTTCATTATATCAGGGCCTGGTTTAGCTCCGGTTGTTAACACCGTCTCCAAAGAACCCAAGTCATCGACGGAAGCCGCAGTAGCTAAAGTATTCGCAAATGTTGGCCCCAGAAGAGCCCAAGTTGGCTAAAACAATAATAAAAAAATATTTTGTTAAAAACTAACAAAGTCAAATCATAATAAACAGTACGATATTTTAAACAAACACTATTATTATAATAGTATCAAGACAGAAGACAATTATTGTACTGCATGGGTTGTATCAGTTAATTGAGCCAATGTAGTTAAAAATAATTATTCATTTACTATGTAAGTAAGTACACCTCTGTACAACATAATATTCTTAACAATGAGTCAACGGTGGACCAAGCAAATATTTGTAATTACCATCATTGATGTCAAAATAAGTATGAGATTTTAGATGTTCTTAACGGCCGATAGGTCGATGACTATACAAAGCCGCTTGTTTCAAATATTCCTGATAGGCCCTCAGTCATAGAGGAAACCTTTAGAATAACTAGCAATTAATTTATTAAAATCTATTGAATAGAAAGCGTAGGTGACTCAGTTGCACTTGAATTGCAAACTGCAGATCCTGGGTTTAAATCCCGCCATGTACCGATGTGTTTTCAATTTCCGATTTACATATGTATTTATCCGACGTTCTTACGGTGAAGGAAAACATCGTGATGCAACATGCACATATCTGAGAACAAAATCAAAGATATGTGTGAAGTCAACTCGCACTTGGCCAGCGTGGTTGACTAACGCCTAATCACCCTTAACTTAGGGTGGGCTCCGAGCCCCTCGGTGGGGACGTATAGTGAGCTAATTGATATTGCTATATTGAATGTGAATATAGCTAGCAATAAAATTGTATATTGTCCAATGCACATTATAGAGAAATGTTTATAATCTGTATTATAAACAGTATTTGTTGCCGACAGATACGGAACTTTTTACACGTTTTTATTCATAATTGTTATATTTTTGAATTTAGAACTTTATATGTTTTTTCTTCCTTTTTCTCTATATTTAAAAGTTCAGTTGTAAATATAGTCTTGTAACAGTGCGTGCTTTTCTCTTTATTTCTAATAATTCTATTTAATATTTTTATTTTATCTTTTTATTATATAACATAATATTCCAAAATTCATCCTAATCCAAACGCTCTTTCTATCCTTACATTTTCCGTCGTCTTTAGTATATTTTAATGAAAATGGAAAAAATCTTATTTTGTTATATACAAGAAATTCAAAATTCAATGTTGCCTTGGCTCCTTAACCAGGAAGACCTGTACTTAAGGAGCAAAGGACTTCCCATACATATAAATTTACTAATTGTTTGTGTAGAAAAACATCTAATTTATGAATGAACAATTATAGTGTGTGTGAATGTGTGTGTGTGTGTGTGTGTGAGAACATAATAATCTAAAACATCACCTTATGCCGTCTAATCATAGTAAGAAGACAGTCAATAGTTGACTTCGGGGTCATCAGTAATGTTATCTGGTACACGGGACAAGCGATCATTAAGCTAGTGTGCGTCATCCATTGCGCAGTTGATACCAACATTGCTATGTTTGTCGGTCTAGGAAACTGGGAATGTTGCGTCCTGTAATAATTTTAACAATTAAATTTGAATGGAAGTAAAATTATACTACAAATGTTTAATCTTTTGATGGATTATTAATACTGGAATGTAAGCAATGTCTATTATTATTATTTTTTTAATTATAAGTAATAGTATATTAGCTTAATTTTTTACCACTTAATTACATCCATTAAAAATACATTAATTTAGCTATTTATCAATTTCTCGAGTATTAAATAATACTAGAGGACCCGACAGACGTTGTTCTGTCTACACGTCTTTAATTTGAATAAATTAATATGAAGTTAATATTTGATGAAAATTGTGAATCTAAACCATTCCCACATCCCCTTGAACACACGCAAAAAATTTCATCAAAATCGGTCCAGTCGTTTGAGAGAAGTTCAGTGACATACACACTCACAGAAGAATTATATATATAAAGATTGCCATTATATTGATAAAAATTCTAGTGCTCATAAATTTGAGAATGGATGTATAGTTAAAAAGGTACACTAAAGTGGAATGGCGTGACCGATATCCCATTATCCCAACCAGTTTGATAAGACTGCAGCGACCAAGAAGAATGCAGTTAAAAGATAAAATATATCTTCTTCCTTCTTCCTACAGTCCTAAGATAGGCTTAAATAACGGAATGTTAAATCTTAGAGTGGGCAAAAGTTTTACCATAGAGTGGGCAACTGTGCGATCAAGCCTCCCTGTGATAGTATTGCAGCTTTGGGCAATCCAGTAGACCCACTTGTGGGCAACATCAAAACTGGTAAATCTAAGTTCACATGTGTTATTCTGTAATGACAAATAAAATATAAATATTACCTAAGTACTGAATTACATGTTGTCGCCCTCATTTCCGGTATCCAAATTCTTGGGTATTGCAGAATAATGAATGGATACGGTTGCTCTATTGACTTAATTTATATGTAGATGTTAGAATGGATGTCACACTTGAATTCTTAACTAGTAGAATGGCCATAACTCTCTTGCAGATGGTTATGTTGCGTTATTATTATAATTATACTCAAGTATAATGAGTACAGTATAGTTTAAGGTCAAAGTATTTCACTAGTGTAAGAAGTAAGATTATGTACAGTAATCCAGATTTAATAATCTTGAGATTGTACTGTTTAATCTTACGAATATTGTAAATGGTAATGTTTAGATGGATGGATGTTTGTTTAAAGGTATCTCCAGAACGGTTGCATGGATCTCGCAAAAATCTGGCATAGTTGTAGAACATAATATTGAAAACACATAGGCTACTAATTATATTTTTATTTTAATTCCTCGCGGACGGACTCGAGAGCGACTGCTAGTTATTTCGTGTTTTTAACTCACCTGAAGTCATCTATATTGGAACTTGCATTTTTAGTGAATTTATGAATAGCATTGCTATCCGCAACAACAATCTCTGGTTGATTAATATTACGTTTATTAAGTAACTCAGTAATATCGTTTAGTTTCTTCTGTTCACAGAAGATCACCTTTGGACCAACTAAGTTGTTGAAATGAGTAAATTCATCTGGATAAACGAGAATAATACATTTTTAAGTTACCATAATATATAATAGTTACTTTTTCCGTGTTTAAAAATGGGACTTTTCCCAATCGATACTTAAATATGGACTGTTGCAGATTAATACTTAACCGTGTAAATTTCTCTGTTATTATATATATAATGTTACTAACACAACTAAATGCGAATGTTTGAATGTATAGATGGATGTTTTTAGAAAGTATCTGGACGACGACTTAACAGATCTTGCGGAAATTTGGCATATATGTACAGCATAGTCTGGAAGAACACATAGGCTACTAAGTTTTCTTTTAATTCCGCGCAGACGGAGTTTCGGGCGACAGTTAACATGATTACAAATCGTATACTTACAGTTCGTGCTATTAGGATCTATTAATATAGGGATGGCTCCTGAAAAGATTATTCCATAGTAAACTGCTGCCATATATTCATCATTTCTTAATATCACCATTACGTGTTTTCTAGAATAACCATTTGCAATCAACGTCCTTGTTATTGGTATTGCAATTTTGAGTATTTGTTCGTTAGTAATATATTCATTTGTTAAACCATTTATCTGGAAATATACATTATAAATGTATTGATGGATGGATGGTTGTTTGTTTGAAGGTATCTCCGGACCGGCTCAACGGATCTTGATGAAATTTTGCTCAGATATAGAACGTAGTCTAGTAGGACACATAGGCTACTAATTATGTTAGTTTTTAATTCCAAGCGGACGGAGTCACGCGACAGCTAGTGCTTAATAAACCAAAATATCAGTCGTTTAAAAGCCCACGTGTAAATGCCGCTTAATCATTTACCGTTCTTAAATACAACAAATTACATATAAGTTACTGCAGAACTTATATTTTGATTATTACTCTTTCTTTGATACATACTAAAAAAAACTGTTAGTCATTAGAACTTATGTGTGCATATTTAACTAAAAATAAATGTGCAAATTGCATAAAATTATTTGTTTGCAAATTTGCACATGCTCGAGAACATTGCTCGAGAGGAAAAAAACGGAACCCTTATAGAATCACTTTGTTGTCCGTCCGTCAGTCTGTCTGTCTAAAACCTTTTTTTTCAAAGAACGGGACAAACAAAAGGCGTTTAAAAAGAGGTCATCGACTCTCTTGGATATACGCAACTTCAGAGGAACCGTAGTTGCATTGAAGGACCCTAAGTTCTCTCCTTAATAGTTAATCAATAATCATAAGCATTAGTAAAAATAAAGACATATTACCATGAAAATTCCAGAGCGATTTGCTTTCATACTATATAACAGTATTTCAGATAAACTGATTTTACTTATATCTGTTTCATGTTTAGTTGTTAGTACTGCATTTAAAATATCGTCAAGATATGTTTGTGCCTTTGTTGCTTTCCCTCTAAGTACTGCGTGAGACATTCTTCCAAACCTATAATGGAATATTTTTTTAATTTAAATTAGGCCATAGTCATAGTGCTTAGAGCGTCGGTGGCTTAGTGGTTTCAGCATTTGACTTGTAATCTGCAGGTTCTGGGTTCGAATCCCGCCATGTACCAATATGTTTTTCGACTTCAGATTTACATATGTACATATATCCAACGTTCTTACGGTGGACATATCTGAGAAGAAATTCAAAGATATGTGGGAAGTCAACCAACCCGTACAGGGCCAGCGTGGTTGACTATGGCCTGTTCACACCTAGCTTAGGGTTAGGCTCCGAGCTCCTCAGTGGGGGCATATAGTGAGCTGATTATTATGTGCCTAATAAGATAATCCTTACTGTACAAATAAAATCTTATTTCTTACTAATATTATAAATGTGAAAGTAGATCGATGGATAGATGTTTGTAAGAAGGTATTTCCAAAATGGCTTAACGGATCTTGATAAATTTTGGCATGTATATAGACATAGACTGGAAGAACACAAAGGTAAGTAATCAATTTTTTTTTAATTCCGAGTGGACAAAAAATATTAATTAATCATTAATTGGTAGTAACTTTGTAAAAAGTACTTACGTTATAATGGGTTCTACTTAAACTTCAATTTACTAATTCAAAACTATGCAAAATGGATACTACATTCGCATCGTAATTACGGATTTATAAATGTAATACTGTCTTTATTTCGCGCACGATTAAATTACTTAAGACGCGATTCATCTTGCGAGCAAACACGCACTTACATATCCCAGTCAATTTACCGTCTAATATAATAAATTAAACTAAATTATGTGGGTAGTTTATCTTAAAACTTAAATACATTACTTCGTCGCAACACAGATAATATTGAAACAAATCCATCTTACTATAATATTATAAATGCGTTAGTTTCTAGTAAGATTTGCTTGTTACAAGGTATCTCCAGTACTAGCACAGATGTAGAAAATAGTCTGGAAGAACACATAGCCTATGCAAATATTTTTTTTAATTCCGCGCGGAGTCACGGACAACAGCTAGTGTAACTGGACGATAAATGGGACTTTTTTTTAATTCACTAGTATTAAATATATGACAGTTCGATCGTAATTATTGATTATTGGGGTCGGCAGTAACTAGACATGTAGTAAAGTCGTAAAAAAAACAAAACAAAAGTAAATACTTACGATAACCTAGTTTAAATTAACCTATAAAATTTATCTCGCAGGGTTATTGCCCGACATTTGATTTACTTTTGAAATGACTAATAAAAACATACAGAAATAAATTGCATTAATTTATTTAATTTATCTGGCCACGACTCCGACTAAGCAGAATTAAAAACAAACTTAATAAGTAGTCTATGTGTTCTCCAGATTATGTTCTACATCTATGCCGAATTTCAGCGAGATCCATACAGCCGTTCTTGAGATACTTTCATACAAACATCCATCCAAACATTCGCATTTATAATATTAATAAGATGGTAAATAACCATTTAAATTTTTAAAAAACATAATTTAATTTAAAAAAATATTCAATACTCACTTTTTATATCCGTATTTAAAAAACAGTTGTATATTTATTTATATTTAACAATTTATTTAAAATATTTATTAGAATCAATTGTATACACTGCCGTTTACTATGACGATCTTCGTGCGAATGAAAATGAAGTCAAAGTATCATGATAATTATCATCTAAGTCATTAATAATGTTTACGTTGTATATGAATACGACTGTTTCAATTATTATTACAAAAAAATAGTTATGCGATATACAGTCAAAGAATTTAATTACCTACCCACCCGAATAGAATTTCGTATAACAATTTGTGAACAGCGGACATATGTCTTGCGACACGCAAAATATGAACTTCTTCAACTCATAATGATGGGCAAAATGAAGGCAGAAGACGAGTTGAAAGGAGGAGAAAATCGTGGCTGAGAAACATCTGGGAATTGACTAATATTGCTAGCGTTGAACAACTTTTTCGCTTGGAACAGGACATGAAAGGGTTCGCTGAGCTGATGGCCAACCTCCAGTAAAAGAGAGGCATTAGAAGTAGAAGGATATGTAAACACTTTTTTAATGATCGTCGCTATCGACCAAAGCTTTTACTTTTTTTATTTAAATCAAATTACAATTTTCTTTTAAATTTAATTAATAATTGCCGTGAAATTGATTTTGACATATGTTGTTGTCTCTGCTTTTATTAAATAAAAGGAGAGGGATGACAAAATTATTTTATACGAGTACTTTTACGATCGAAAACCACTATGAGAATTGCACTTTGCTACAAGTTTTCAAAACTAATTACAATGTGCGCCTCAACTTCACTGAAATGGGTGGATGGGTGGGAAATTAATGTCCTCCAATGTAAAATATAAAATTAATTAAATAAAAAAAAAAATCGTAATGTAGTTATTATAAACATTCTTAATTAATAATTTACAATAAAGTTATTAGAAATCAGTTATTTCAAAACAAATATTTTTTTGAGTAAATCGACTTATAATTTTACTAAATGTATACTGAAGAAATATAGAAGTTATATTCAATATAGTATAGTATTATATTTTATAATAAAAGCAAATTTAAGCAAGCATTGTTGCGTCAATAAATAATGGCCATATCGACGGAGAAGGCAATGTAGCGAATACGTCCGATCCGCGCTTTGAATTTATGCTTTCCGTTGGTCTGATAGGATTAGGCCATGAAACAAGCGAGCTGAAACATCTATAAGTACAGATATATAGCGTGTCCTAAAATTCAACAATAAGCCATTCCCGATTTATGGTCAGGTCGATAACTACAGGGGGAAAATAATAAAAAAATTCCAACCCTTTTGATATAAAACTTGCATTAACTTTTTTAAATTTTCTTGTTATTTGATTCCCTAACCCATATGATTACATACTGTAGCTACAAATTTGCGTACTGAGAAATGTTAACAACAACGTATGGAGCAGGTTTTACTTTATAATATGCACTTATGTTATAAAGAAAATGTTTTTTTTTAGTGACTGAGTGGTCACTGTTTGCCTTGAAGGGGCATTTACAGTTTCACTGGGCTCGAGGTGGACACGCGCAGATGGTGCATAGCCTGAACCTCGTTTAAGAGTAACAATACTTGAGGGCTCCCTCAGGAGCCTCGGCTCGGTGTGTTATTTCATTATTGTTATCGGATTAGTAAAGAAAATGAACATATTTATTACGTTGTTAATTTAAACCAGTGGTTCCCAAACTTATTTTGTCCACTGCCCACTTTGAGATAAATAATTTTTAGCGCCCCCATATTTTCACATATTTAAAAACCACTATAACTTCAAATTAATTTAATTAATTATTGTGACCTATACATGTACATATATTAACGGAGAATTTTAAACTACTAAACTTTTACTATAAGCCGCAACTTGAGACCTACAGCGCCCACTAGGGGGCGTTATCGCCCACTTTGGGAAAGACTGATTTAAACCCATATGAGTAAGAATTTCCTTCAAACAAAACTGTGACGATATTCTAGTAATTTAGAATAAAGTATGTTTATAATTTCATGTTTAATGTTGTTATTTAAAAGAAATTAACTCGCTAATTTCATGGCTCCAACTAGATACTTTTTAACAAGACAAATCGTCATAATTTAAGAAGAAAGATTTAGATTTTTTGTACAATAGACGCTTTTAGATAAGGGAAATTCGTTATTATTGTTTCCCTTGTACTCATCTGATGTCTGTTACAACTAATTTACTGCGAAAATATTCCCTTCATTTGTCACGGTCAAGAATAAAATAAATCAAAGAGAAATTTCTTTATCTTTACGAGACATTGATCATTGTAACAAAGACAATGTGAAATGTATTATCTTATGATTTTAAAGAATAAATCGTTGATAATGTTGCTTTTAGCCGGACAGACCAGCCATTTTGGCCGAACATTTGGGTAGACACCGTACGTTATTGAAAGCTGTGTCTCAGATTTAATGGGTACGACAAAAAAAATTGATGGTAAAATCACACTCGTTTGCGAAATGTAAAAAACCTAAGAAAATCCGGACAATCCGGACACTGTATATTTTGTCCGGATACGCAACCCAAAAGCCTACCTATGTCCGGCTATACCCGAACGCCTGGCAACGATACCCGCGACTCCGATTGCATGGAATTAAAAAAACTGAATAGCCTTTGAGATCTTCCGGAGTACGTTCTACAACTATGCTGAATTTCAGCGCGATCCATGCAGCCGTTCTGGACTTAACTTCTAACAAATATCCAACCATCCATCTAGAGTTTCGCATTAATAATATTAGAAAGAAGGATTTCAAACTCAATTTATATTACTATATCATTATGCATTCATAGGTTTCTGTCAGTCGTTATATTTGACTCAATCCCTTTTTACGTATATTCTCTTTCAAACAATCTATCCATTTTCTTCCTTCTTACTAAAAAAGTACAAATAGCAATGTTTCTTGGTATTTTTGCAATGTATTTTCGATTTTACAATTTGAACAACTTCCTTTGCGATACGACTTTTACTCCCGAAGGGGTATCGAGAATGAATTTTAAGTTTCGACGTTCCTCTAAAGTTCTACAGCGGAGAAAATATGTGTTTCTTTTGAAATGGAACGAACTCTTTTAGTTCATAAAACTTTTAATTCTCTACGTGATTTAGATGTTTATACTGAAAATATAGAACTAAATGTTGAATGTGCTTTTAAACAAAGTCTTTTAGGCTCTTAAATAGTAGGGCGCTGGATACGGGGGGGGGGGATCCAGCGCGTGAGGCTGAAGGTAGGCCCTTCCCCATCTGGGCGCTGCTTCGGCAGCTGACGCAGGCGTGGTCGCAGACGAAAGCGCAAGCAACAGAGGGGTTTAGTGGGTATGCTTCACGTCCGGAAGAGAATCCCACATAACTACCGCGCCTACCCCGGGGCGTGGAATATGCATAAAGCATACCCCTCTGAAAAAAAAGGCTCTCAAATAGCACTTTAATACATTTTGCTACAAATTTAACTTATATAAAGATGAAAACAGCAATCCAAAGATTGTCTTTCGTTTAGAGGTATCGATCCATTATTGTTCTTCCAATAGTATAATGAATTACTTTGGTTTGAATTCTATCTGTGATTATTTTGGATTCAGCAGTAAGAAATATTAGTTCTATAGATAAGTGAAAATGTGTGTTGTCAGTGACGTCAGAGTATTGAGGTGCATCGAAATATATTATGTTCGAAAATCAAACTGCAGTTTCTTGTCCTCAGGTGTTCTTGCGTTTCATTGTACAATAATTTTATTCAACACAAGGAAAATGTCTACATGTCTTCCATGCGGCACATACGGACGAATACATAAAACCTTCTTTTTGAAGTCTGTTAAAAATATAGTCATTGTTCATATTGACATCTACTTATAGGTTTGCCATCGTTTGAAATTCGAACACAGTTCATGACCAAAATTTTTTTTAATTACTTGTGAACTTTTTCTCTGCACAATGTCTTTAAAAAGAGATACGAAGTTCACGCTTATATTAATAATTTAATGATTTTAGTCGATGAACACAATGTCACATAGTTTCGTACATGTTGTTCTTTGGTCTCCAAAACCAGTCGCTGGCTACCTAAATGTAAAGATTGGCGCGAAAAAGTCGCCGTGATTTTCAAGATGGCGGAGCTATACAGTTGACATAAAGCCTCTATGCCTGCACTGACCTAAGACGACTCTCGTCGACGATTTATCATTGTGTACGGAGCGCGCAAAGACACAATAATAGTTTCTAAGATTTACGTTGCCTATGTACGAAGAAGCTAAGTTTCGATAGAAACTTAACTAAACTTAAGAAAATCACTTATAACTTAGTTTAAACATGTCAAAAGCCACTTCATCGGTTACGCACATATTGGCTTGTAAAATTAATTGTTGATCGAGTTTAAACTTTGTTTTCTTTTAATTAAACGCTAAAATCATATTTCGAATGGATCATAACTAAAATAAACAATTGGCCCAATAGAATTTTTAACAGAAAATTTACTTACAGTAGTAGAGCCCGCTTTAACATCTTCGCACGTATTGTCTCGGCTCGCCCGGTGAAATACCACGACCACACAGAAGACAGGCGTCAAGTGGAAGCAATTCCGCGTACAGTCTGATGCGTGTGCGTCCCTGATGCCTACTTTAGTCCTATTTCCCTTCCCACCCTTTTTCTTATAAGGAAACGATGGGAAGTGGAAGAGGACTTTCCGGATGAGAGGATGCATGGAAAGGGAAAATATTTTGTTTCTGTGCATCCTCTCCTCCGTCGATTAAAGGTAGGCAACGCTTATGCAATTGCGTAAGTCTATGGGCAACGGTCTCTTCGCTATTTCAGCGACATATGTGTGGGGACGTATAGTACGCTGATGATGATGATCTATTTTACAGTAGACTGTTCAAAATGTGTTAAATCATCATCAACTTACTACATGTCCCTCACTCACTGAGGGGCTCGGAGCCTACCCTAAGTTAAGAGTGACTAGGCCATAGTCAACCACGCTGACCAAGTGCGGTTTGGTTGACTTCACATATCTTTGAATTTCTTCTCAGATATGTAATATAGACATATTAATTTAATTTTTTTTAATTGTGTAATTCAAATATATTTAATTATTATTAAAACTAACATAATATAAATATTAGTTTATAAAATAAATAAGAAACGTAGCAGATGTTATTTTAACAGGATTACACTCAGTGTCAAGTTTACATTCGTTTTAGCGAAGAGTTAAAACTTAAAACACTAATAGACAGCATTTTTAAGCTCTGAAGACTTTAACTTTCAGTAATCCGTGTTACTGAAAAGGTGCAACTTTAAAACTGACCTCTTTTCACTTGTAAAGCCTTAAAGATGAAAGGACTCTTGTGAGAAAGCATTTTTTTGTTAGTTACTTGACTGACAAAAAAACTACGTCTTATCCACAGTAATCTTACGCAAGTTAGCAAGAAGCGTAAAAAAGGATTGTTATAATTATTTAAAATGTCTGGCTATAAAATGCCATGTAAAATTTAGAAGAATAAAATTCAATTGACAGCTCTCAGTTTTAAATCCAATAATCGTTGACTACAGAGTATAAAATTCTAAAGATCGATCTGAATATTTTTGCTTATCAAAGTAAGACCCTCGGTGGCTCAGGGGTTAACCAGTTGACTTGTAAGCAGGTCTTGGGTTCCTATCCATGTAATAATATTTTACAACTTAAATCAGAAACACCAAGAAAGAATTAATTAATTTTGAATATTTTATTATAATTAGTAATTAACAAAAAACACATCACGTGGTTCGAAAGATTTTATCTAAGTATATTTTTAAACATAAGCCTAAATTTTTATTCATAATCTTATTTGAGAAGTAGCATTTTCATTTAGAAAAATATAATATATGCAACACGTGCGAAAAGATATAAAGATAAAATTAATTATTCGTCTTTAATATTTTATTTAATATCATACATTTAAGACTCTTCAGTCAACATTAAACAATAAACGTGTTATTTAAGATAAAATAAAGTTAATATTTCTTAAGAATCTGTATGTAATATAAAACTAAGTTTCAAGGAGCGCCTTCGTGACTAAATATGCGATAAATTCAAAGAATTAACTGATTTTAACACTCAGAGTAGTTAATATTATTAAGTAAAGTGTAAATTAAGTTAAACTAGTAGAAGCAAAGAAAACTTAAATTTATCTATACTTCGTTTCAATCCAATGCTTAAATTACGTAAACAGGGAAACGTGGAAATACCAAACATGGCGACCACTGCAATATTTTTACATTTATTTTGTAAATATTGTGTCAATGTCAAATATATTGCAACATAATAGTAACTAGATGCTATAAAATTAGGTAAAAAATTTTTTCACTACCAACCTTTAGAATTTATCTATTTTTAACTGCTTGGATTGGAACGTAGGATAAACAATTTTGGTCACTAATAATTGGTTTCTAAAACCAAAATCCTTGTATAAAACTCATCTCATTATCTTTGACAAAACAGATATAACGATGTTTTATACAGGGATTAGGGTCTCAGAAACCGACGATAATGCTTAACATATTTAACAAGTATTTATTTAAAAAAAATTTAAATTTATAATATCTGTGTAACAACAATAAAATTTATATCTTTATATTAATGAGATGATATGAACGATGATTAATGCTAAACATCATAATGGAAATTTTTAAACCTAGGGTTTCACTGCAGAAACAAACGTACATAAATATATTGTTATCTCACTTATTTCAAGCTAAATGAAAGGGATGACGATATATATTTGTAGAAGTATTTCAACAGTGAAAACCAATAAAATTTATTTTTATTTTTTATATTATATTTGATACTCCGTGTAGTTCCAATTCCATGTTTTGTTGACGCTGTTGTCCCCGCTGTAATTCATTTGTTTCTGTGGTTCCTGAAACTAAAATAAAAAAATAAAAATACACAAATCTCATCAAATAGTATTAGACTTTGTTATTATTGGAAATAATCCGTGGAGATCATTGGCGTTCTTTTCGTTTAGTGTCGTACATAAAATATTGTATTGAGTACCATGACCTCTTCATCTCTGGTTTAGAAGCTCAAATATCCTTAAAGTCTTTTAAAGAATTGTACTTTGATCCTTACACGTGAGTGCTTGTATAAAGTTGGATTTTGTCAGCAACTTTACCTTAAAGCCTTGTCCTATTTCCGTAACCATATCTTGCTCGATCTGTGGACCAAGATTAATTGGTTCATATTCATCTGATACCCCGCTGTCCGGGGAATCTGGTACGGGTGTCGCATTCATGTAGCCTTTTGGACCAGCACGACTCTTGTGGATACAATAGTCCCCAGTAAATGGATTTTGATACGCCACCACAGTTCTAAAAAAAATAATTAATTAAAAAAATATAAGGACATGGGTAAAAGTTTGATAACATTTAGCGTGGGCTTCAGAGACCATAATATCCGTTTAAATCGTTGATGACGATATTTTTTATACAGAAATTGGGACCTCAGAAGCCAACGTTAAGGATTGTTAACCAGTTTATGTTACATACCGTAATTCCTCCGTAGACTCTCCTTCTTTCTTATGTGAAAATAGTACCCTTGTTGGTTTTAGTAAAATTGCCACCTAAAAATAATAAAAACTATATAAATATTCTCGTGTCACAATGTTACTTATCTCCTCCGAAACGACTTAAACGATTATTGTAAAAAAAAATTATGCATAGCTGTCGCCCGCGACTCCGTTCTTCCAGATCATGTTCTATCATCGTCATCATCAGTGATTGGCCATAGTCAACCATGCTGGCCAAGTGCGGGTTGGTTGCCTTCACATATATCTTTAAATTTCTTCTCAGATATGTGCAGGTTGCATCACGATGTTTTCCTTTACCGCAAGAACATCGGATAAATGTACTTATGTAAATCGAAAAACATATTGGTACATGGCGGGATTCAAACCCACGACCTGCAGATTGCAAGTCAAGTTCTTAACCCCTGAGCCACCGACGCTCTCATTATCTCAGATTATGTTCTATATATATGCCAAATTTCATCGACATACGATCGGTGGTTCAGGAGATACCTTCAAACAAACATCCATCCATCTAAACATTCGCATTTATAATATTAGTAACAAACTGACAAACCTGTCCGTTCTGTTGTAACCGATGTACTCTATACACAGAGTAACCACACGTGAATATAATAAGAGCTAGCTGTAACAAAATAAAGCTTTACTTAAAGTTGGTTTCTAAGACCAAAAACTCTTTACGTGACACAACAATATGTTTTAAACGAGGATTTTGGTTTTAGAAACTCAATATTAAAGTGTTACTAAAACTTGACCTATAAATGCGTAACATTTAAATATTTAATACGACATATATATTATAACCTTAAAAAACTTAGATATAAGAATTACATTTTAGCTTAAACATGTCAAACTTTTTAGATGACCCTGATATGAAACAATACACGAAATTATGATCATGCGTACGCTTCCAAAATACGACCTTGACAATAACAAAGTACTTTATCCAGAGCAGTTTTGGTGATACATGTTTTTGGGTAAAACATAATCTTTTTAGCCGACTTCAAAAAGGATGAGGTTATCAATTCGTCTATGTCCTTTTTCATGTGTGTTACTGCGTAACTCCGACCCTAGTGCTCAGAATTTTTTTTTTGATCGAAAGATTTTGCAGTTGGGTCCCGTTTTTTTTTTAATTTTTATAACCTCCGTTGTTCAAAGGGTTATAACTATTTAACTAAACAGTGTCTTCATATATTTTTTGAAATAAGAATAAGTATTTTCGTAACATAAATGAAAAAAAATAAGGTTTTTTATGGTAATCTTTCTAAATACTGTTCCAGATTGTTCTAGATTTACGCAAAGTTCTTTTTTGAAGAAAAGCAAAATACAAAGTTAAAAATTATTTTATAGTAATCGTATATTTTTAAAAAGTTGTATGTATAGTTACAAAATGAACATAAGGGTTAAATTAATTACAAAAAATCTTTTACTAATAAGAAATTATTTCGATGGCTAGTAACATAAGCTATGTTTTAAATTATCGAGAAAAAATATTATAATATAAGTTCTTAGTACTTACCAAGATGATAAGAAGTAGGATGTCTATGTAAATGATGACCATTGTAACTTAACACGTCACTTGTAACTTAATAATCACGTCACCATCCGTTGAACTTAATTGTTTAGCACGTATCAAACAGAAGCTTGTGTTATGAAAAATTTCCCGTTTTGTATAACGTTAATAGAAAGAATGACCTTTGATTGGTTAAAAAATATTAAATTATAATCTATGATTGGTCAGAAATATTTTCTATTGCTTTATGATTGGTCGATGTGTTATCGTTTGAGAAATCGACCAATGAATAACCGCTGAAGGCTTCAGATTTGGTTCTTGCAGCAGCCATATCAAAGATTATATAGTACAGACCTAAAAATATAAATTGAATAAGTCTCAAATTAATTAATATTCACCTCTTTCGACTTTCTTATATTTATTCGGCTAGTTTATGCGTTTTATTGTTGCAGGTTATTAATATATTTTACCTCACTTGTTGACAATCTACTTCAAAACTTTGCTCTTTGTGTCCACTGATAGCAAAACAAAATTAGACGCTGATAAACTAACTGCTACACTGAACATCTTTAAATGGTAATTTAGGGAATAAATTCTATTATTTCTAAGTATGAGATATGTAGACTGTCAAACCTCTAAATGATACTGAATGTGAAATTTATAGGTAGAAAGTAATATTAACCTATCTGTAAGTTGCTTAATCTTTGACGATACTGGATAACTTGGCGCCATGGGTGTCGCGCCGTCTGTCTCCCCGGCTCCAGCATCTCGGTCTATATTCCAATCCGTAAAGAGATTCGTTGTGGTCGAAAACTCTGCAGCTTTTTCATCTTCGAATATATTTGCATTTGTTTTATTCCAATGAAACATTAATTAGTGCTGCGTCATTTTATGCAAAATGTTGCAAAGCGTGGAAAAATACTATGGCTATAATTTTTTTTTACATTAGAATTTAAAATGTGAAGAAGATTTTTCTTCTTTATTTATTTAAAAACAATTCGGTCTTTTTTATTTTTTTCTTCAATTGTGTTTTTTATAATTCGCTTTTATTTGAATTATGCTCTTCTTTATTATACTACTTTCAATCTATACTTTTACCTTTATCGTAATGCTGTCAGTATTTTATTTAATACAAGCTATTGTCCGCAACACCGTCCAAGCGAAATTAAAAAAAAAAACTAAAGTAGTAGACTATGTCTTCTTCCAGACTATGTTTTATATCTATGCCAAATTTCAGCGAGAAACATGCAGCCGTTTTGGAGATACTTTCTAACAAACATCCATCCATCCATTCATACAAACATTCGCATTTTTAGTATTAGTCAGTTCATCTTTAATATATTCTGCTATTTCAAACTCGCATAACTTTAAACGCAGTTCAATCCTTGACTACTTATAACAGAAACGCTTCAATCAAGTTAGGCCACAGAAACTTCTACTAACCTGAAGTTCCGACGAAGTTCCATGATTTCTCCTCTCTATGTTTACAACAATCGTATATTGATTTACAATACATCGCTAGATAATCAACGTAGCCTCGGCTTGACAAGAATAAAAGTTGATTATTTAAACTGGTTATTCATATAAAGAACTGGGCTTCTGAGAGCAAAATCTCTTTATCAAATATACCATCCCGGTCATTATTTATAAAAATATTAGCAGATTTTTTGTAAATTTACTAATATTTCTTTAACCATTCCAACTAAGCTCTAGACTCGTGCTAGGACATGGTTTACGACAATAGTCGATTGGCGGGATTCGAACCCCCGACTTCATAATCGAAAATCCTTACCCTTAATCATTAGGCTATTGGCGCTTTTTGATTATTATAAATTTTATTAATTATCTTTAACAAAACATAGATAATAAAAAATAACAATATGTTCAGTAACGATTTAGCGGCCTTCAAGAAAAGAGCGTACACCATCCTTAAAGACCGGCAACGCATCTGCAGTTCTTCTGGCGTTACGGATGCGGGCGTCGGATCAAATAATTTGTCCCCTTCTCCTAAAAAACAAATCGGAAATCTAAGTGTCATAGAACGAATGAAAAAAATATGCAAAAACTTAGTAACATCGGGATGTATTTGTTGAATTTATGGTCAAAAAGACCGAGAATAATAGATAGCGAGTGATCATTTTAAGGTACTGTAAATAAATTTTACTGGTTACTTAATAACAGGTCAAAGATTTTTCATTTGTTAATCAATTTCACTTTCTATTCCCAATTATTTGACTTCAATGATATTTTAATGAACTTCCTTCCTTGTTGTTCAAGTAGAGGTAAAATCTTATTCGTGCAATTATCGCAGCCCATTTTCACCGTAGCTTCATAATGAATATTTAATGAGTAATTTAAATTATACCATATTGTTTTCATTTATTTGTACAAGTAAAATGTAATTAATTATTATAATTAATTAATTAATTACACTTCATTATAAAAAAATACAATTGCATAAAAATATATCATGATTTTAAGCTCTTATATTTGATGTGATATGAGCGTCGGGGGTTCAATGCTCAAGCACTTGACTTGCGATCTGCTGGACGGGTTCGAATCCCGTCAGTTACCGATAAGTTTTTTCGATTTCAGATTTACATATGTACATTTATCCGACGTTCTTACGGTGAAGGAAAACATGCAACCTGCACATATCTGAGAAGTAATAATAAACTTGCACTGGGCCAGCGTGGTTGACTATGGCCCAGTAACCTGTAAACTTAGGGCAGGCTCCGATCCCCTCGGTGGGAACGTGTAGTGAGCTAATGATGATGATTGAAGTGATATGGGTTGGCCACATTATTCGCAGGATGGCTAATTCGACTGTAAAGTCCTAACATGGCCGCCACGGACTCGAGGTAACGTGGCTAGGTTGTAGGAGTATCCTGGATAAAGACGGCCAATGACCGATCCACGTATATTAGGTGAGACTTACGCTCATCAATGAGCAACATGTGGCTTACATGTTAATAATAATTTTAGTGTATGCATTAACGTAGTGTTGTTTGTCTCGAGCGTACACGTCATAAGTGCATGCCGGAGAGGGGGGGCGTCAGTCGATGTCAGACCTTTGGACCGGCAACACGTGTCGGTACGTCAACGAGCCAAATATAACGCAA